TGTCCCGGAGCGCAGGCCTCGCCGCGTTCGCTGCTGGAGACGAGACCGGCAGACTCATCACATCGTCCGGGCTCCGTACACTCGCCGCGACTCAGGCAGAACACCTACGGGAATGTTTGAACCTCTTAATGCTTCTTTAATCTTAATGTTCGAACAATAACAAAATTCTGGCTTCTATGTGCATGCAGCATGGTTCCTGAACTTGCACCTAACTTTTGAACTAATATCTCTAAAGATGGAAACCAGATAAACGTTAACAATATCTCTGCGCCCTTGGGCAAAAATTCAGTAAGACATCATAGTGCAATTATTAAAAACGGTAGCATAAAGCCACAACTGAAAACAGCATCATAATGTTAATTATTATTCAGTACATTATCATTATGCCAAAATTCAGTTCGGTATTTTACTGCCAAAATTCAATAATTCGTCATAGTATCGGAATTCATTACTATTTATCAAGATATTGACACTATTTTTAAGATAGGATAGGGGAGATGAGACCATCTTACACAATATAGGTACATCTAAATGTAATCAGAGTGGGAGTAATCAAATATTTGGTTTAATGTCCGTAGACTAGATGAACATTCCGTATTCTGTTCAATAATACATAAGAATTTCCAGGAAGGAGAAAACGATTCACTGCAAAACTTTACATGAATATTGTAATTTAAATAAAATTGATGGCTGGTATATATATATTGCATTAGCCTAAAATTGCAAATAACTTCAAAATTTAAGTCAACAAATCAAAGTCATCTGAAGGATATGAACCAAAATTTGAAAAAGAAAAGTTCCAATAAATAATGAGGCGAGCTATACAACAAGACATGTGCAAGTAATATGAGTGGCATGCACTAGAGTCCGTTGCTAGCACTAAGGCCTTCAACTGAACAGAAGTATCGTCCAGCAACACAATTATTAATCAATAGAGCAGCACAAATGAGGCGTCGTCACGGGAACAGGTCTGTTCATTACTGTTCACTGCACACTCTGAGTAACTATTTGTACCAGCTGAAGTTAGCTTGAAGTTTCGCACAGCGTGCTTTAACGGAAATATATTGCATTTGTTTTGCTTTTATTACGAAATAATCAAGTATTCAAGAGCAAAGTAAGCCAGGAATATTTACAATATTATTTTTTTGGAAACGCTTCAAGCAAATTTGATTAAATTATACAAATGTTATCAAAAAGATTACTTCATTTTTTCGAAAGTTTGACTATACTTGTGGTATTAAATTTAAATTAATAATAAAGCCAATCTTCGAAAACGTTTTCAACAACTATATGGTATCTGACCATTTTTGCGGGTTCGAAAAGCTTGAAATGCAAGAATATCAGCGTTAAAAATGGCGCAGAACTTGCGAAAATTTATAAATTAGAATCACCAACAATAAATGCAAACGCGCAGCTACAGGTGCGACGGAAACGTTTGTAGAGTAAATAAATCAATGAAGCGACAAAGAAGTAGATGCGATATTTTAAGCGAACGTAAACAACATTTTGCACCTCATAGTCCTAAAATTCCGAATTAAAAAAAAAACACAAATCAAACCTGTCCTGGCCCACAGCTGGCCCCAGATGAGCTGGACTGTGAGCGAGCATTCGCCGCCGCCCCACCGCAGGCATCAGGGGCCACGCAGGCGCCCAGCATCACGCAGAACACCTGCGGTCACGTCAAATTTTCCACTTACAGACACAATTACATGTATCTTGATAATCATTACTCGAGTATTCATATCAGTTGAATGACCAGCAATATTATTATCTCATATAAAGCGATCGTTTTCAATGGTTACTCTTCAAGTTACTATTTACTTCGACGATATACGAAAGCGCATCAAATATGTCATCATCGATGATCCTCACCTGTCCCGGAGCGCAGGCCTCGCCGCGTTCGCTGCTGGAGACGAGACCGGCAGACTCATCACATCGTCCGGGCTCCGTACACTCGCCGCGACTCAG